CCGCACATTCGGAACGCGGCTGGCATTCAGTCGTACTGGAACTGCTCCAGTGACACGATGTTGCACAGGAGCTGTGAAGGACGAATCCATTGAACCACTGAAAACAAGATTCTAGGATGATAATTGCTGTTCAGTGCCGCAATTCGTCTCTGTAAGACACCACAAGTATGGTGAGTATGGACATAAGTCTGACCCCAGGCGAAGCTTGAACCCGCACCTCTGCCGTAATAGAAAGCGCACTCGCAGTACGCATTAAGTGTAAGTTCAAGTGCTGCCTTTGATCAAATCTTCGGCTCAAAACAGCATTATTTTGATCAACTCCAGAGTCAATATGATAGATCGCTAACTTAGTCATTGCTTTGGCCACTTCCTTGCCGCTTCTCTTATAATCCTGTATAATATCGCAACTTCCCACGGAGGATTTGTCATCGATATCCGCGCAGTCGGTTAGTCTTTGGTCGTCCTCCATATAAAGCAGCGGAGTCTAAAGTATATCAATACATCACAAGAAAATGCCACCTTATGTGCCACCAGAACATTGTATTATTGCAAATTTTGCTCAAAACTCAATCGCAAGAAATAGGTAGTAATTTCACTCTCCATATCGGCAATCAGTAGCCCAGACACTATCGAAACACATTGTTTTCTCAAGGCAATTGGAAACAATTGCTGGTCAGCGTTCCAGCAGCTCCACTTAGCCAACCAGACCCGAAAGGAAGAAATAAGAAAATAACAAAAAGGTGAGAAGTGATAATAAACCGTTGCCGCTAAAGCAAAAGAAAAAGAACAATGTTGTTCTTTCGAGTTCATTTCGATGCTATATGCTCCAGAACTGATTTGCTCGATGTTCTCGTTCAATGGGTGCACGGCTATGACCCCAACCCTTGAATGAATGCAAACAAGATGGCCCCCAATGCGAGGTGAAGTGCGGAATCCATACTAGCAATAGACGTGTCTGTCATTTTTTTATTAATTTCAGGAATCATCGCTCTGCGATTACATG